AAGGAATTCTTTAGAAGGAACTGGTTTGGCTGGAAGTGTTAAATAATGGTTGAGAGATGGAAAAGAGACAAAAACATGGTAGGAAATATTATTGTAGGGATCTAATTCCTCCATACTCAAAGAGCTAGGCTAACTTGCTTTTTCTCAATGTCTATTTTTACTGTAAATTCTTTCATTGAGACTATAATTGCTATAAGATATTTAGTGAAGGAAACTAATATAAATAAGTAGATAAAGTACAGCTATTAGTGAGCCTCAATATTTTACATCCATAAAAATACAAGCTAAAAGCTTTCTTTACAAGTAGAAATAAATACTAACTTCTAATAATCCACTAGAACGAGGCAGGGCAATCAGCTAGCACGTAAACTTCTTTTCCAACTTCAAGAATTATCGGGGCACGAACAAAAACTCCCGTGAAATGTTTCAAGACCACCTTCACTTGAAGAAATCTTAGGCACTGAAAGCTCTACTTCAAAGCTTTGAAACTAATTAAAAGTTTTGGTTAATTACTCAAACAAGATCAAAAGTATATAAATGCATCTATATTGTTATTCCATGTCCAATGCTCGGTACGTAGTACTCTCTTTTTACACATATAAATCAAAATCGAGTATCATAGATTGATATCTATAAACCAAACTGAATCTAATCAACTAATATGGCAAGAGTATTGAATGATTTAGAATAAGAAAAATAATTTAACTAACGAAAGTGATCTTAAAAATCATGAACTTAAAACTTTAGACCAGTTAGTCTTTGAAGATTACTTAAATACTCAATCATTGGAAGGAGCTTATACACCTTCATCCTCACAAAAAATATGCACTAAATATCAAATTTCATGTTCAGTGTTTTCACATGTATCAAGTTGAAAGTGGCTTCCTTTTATATTTACTCGATTGTCCATAGTCCAATATAAAATATGCAAATATTACCTGGCTTTTGAATAAATTCCTATGGATAGTACAATCAAGTCCACCAATTAGTTCTTGTCCATTGGCCTTCTATTTTGCAATGGATTCATTCATCCTTCCAAAATTGAAAAGTGAAGTATTGATGCAGCTGAAAACTTAACATCAGTGAAGAAAAGGAGAGAGAGGAATACAATAGCTCACCAATGGCTTTGTTTGCAAATAGTATAAGCCCAGCACAAGTACCCTAAATGGGCCTTCCATTTTAACAAACTCTTGCAAAGCAAGAAACTGGTAGATTGGAATATACAATGTAGATGAGTTGCTCACTAATCTCTATGCCTTTCACCCTTAATCTCCTAAGGGCTGTCACTAACTAAAAAGAAAGGAAAGGAAAAGAAAAAATGAATGGGAGAATCATAGGAAAAAAGAGACATTGAAATTTACCAAACGTGGAAAAAGAGGAGACATGTGATGGCGATATGTTTGTCGAAAGAACCTTGTCGCGTGAGGACACCAACAATTGCCATATTCTTCCAAGTGAACCATAAAAATACACCAACACGACGCCCATAAAGGAGACGCGATATGTTAAAGGAGTTGGTCTTCTCGTTTCAAATAACCTTACAGAATAGACTTTTTTATCATTGCTAAAGAAAAATTGCCCTTTTGAGCCACCATGAATCCATCCGATGTAGGTTCGTGGCTTGTGATTTTGTTTCAAAACAAATAAATAATACATACAACGAAATTTTTGCTCAAATTATATGCATTATAATTTTTCACCACTTGTTTACAAATGTTTAGAGAATGTATTGCATGGATGGCCAGAAAAAGGATGTATGTATTACTATTACTATTGCTAGTTGTTATTATTGTTATTTTTATTATTATTACCACTACTACTAATACTACAATAATGAAATATCGTAAACACAAGTATCTACTATTAAGGTTTACTCTGACTCTTTTATGAGACTGTACTGTATTGAGATATTGATATCATGTAATATTAATCATTCAACAACCAAAATTTATTTGAAAAAAATATTTGCATTGTGCCTTTTTGTTACTCTACTTTATTAATAATTAATGAGTTAGTGAATAATAAATAGGAAAAATGTCATCTTTCTTCCAATCACCCCAGTAGATATAATTTTGTAAAAGACAGTTGGTGTATTTAGCTGATGAAATGATAATAGGACATAATCTATATGTGCATGGGGCTTTTAGTCTCTTTAATCTTCTAAACTAGTGCGAAAAATGTTAAAATATAAAACATTTCTCTCATATTATTATTTTATTTTATTTATTTTTCTTAAACTCATGTTATTATTGAGTAAAGCCGGTATGAGAAGTCAACTTTTATTAACAGGAAAAAAAATCAAAGCATGCATAATATGAGTGATGAGTGAAGATGGGCAAAGAGAAAGAGGCCTGTCAAAAGGCCCCCCGATGTGATATTAAGCCTGAGTGTAATCTTCTTTTCCCCCCTTATGGTTGATTGATTTAAAGCTTGGTTTATAAAATAGCTAGTCTATTTATAGATATATACACACACACTGTAACATACTCTTACGCACACTCACTTACTCTATAAATATAATCTCTCATAACTTGTTACATAATCAGCTTAAAGTAAATTCCTTCGCTCAGTAAAAAAGTATGAGTGGTTATGTGTCATCATCCATATTATAGTTCAAGAGTGAGCAAGTCAGTCATGTTCTTTTGTTCCTTTTTTTTTTTAAAGAGAGAGCAACCTAATCATGTCATGTCGTGCGTTTTTACCCATATGCTTGATAACTTTAAGGTGATTCTTTTTCCTCTTTATAAGTCATATTATTAAATTTTTAGCACATTTTCTTTTTTATCTTTCATTATATATGATGGAAAAAAACTGTATTACAATATGTTACAAATGGCTTATAATTATCACAATGTAACGAATCAAGTTGAATTCTCCGTTAGAAAAATGTTCACATCTAATATCCAACAATACTTCAAACATGATTACTTTAGATTGATGGATACCTACGAGTAGTGTTGGCAAAAAGGCCATGGGTTAATGTTTTGGCAAGTTAGGTTAGGCCAACTTGTCAGATAAACAATCTAGAAAATCTAACCCACACACTTACGTGTTGGCAGTCTTGCACCCAACCCATGAGATACATATATAATTTTTGTTTCTCTTGTGATGATTTAAAATTTATATATGTCATGTTTGTGTGTGTATCCAAATCAGATCACTCTTATAATCTTGTAAATCTTGATAAACATATCCTAAAGACTAACTAATAACTTGTAATAAATAAACCACGTAGAACCAATTAACTAAATTAGACTCCATATTCATAGCAAATTAGCAATAACAGAACTAGTCACCACAATTTAAATTATTCAATGCTACTTATTCAAACTCCAAGCTAACCACAAACTAGCTCTAAAATGAACAAGATGCTTCTAAATCATCATCCATAGATTATATCCTTTAATGAATTGATATTTTATCAAAGAAAATATAAACCAAAAATCATGAACACCATCTACAATTCACAATGGTAGAAAAATTCCAATAGCACATTGCAATTATTTTCAATAGCTCACAAATGGAGCTGAAGTTGAAAAAAGAAAAAGAGTTGACATTACAAACATTTTGGGTTGGCAAATATCCGGATGGAATTCTGATATTATTTTTACTTGGTTTCAATGAATTGTGAATTAATTAGAAAAAGGAAGCAAACATATTGAAACTATTAGATCTTAACTATCAATCATATCCTGCCTTAGATGCATTATCTTTTATTATTGAGAAAGAATATTCAAACATGAACCTAGATTTATTTCTCAACAAACTCACATTTAAGATTTCTTCAATGGATCTTTTTTGATTATCAAATAACATATAACAAAATCTTTGTAAAAAACTGATAAATTATAAAAAATTTAAAGAGTAAATATTGAAAGGAAACTAAGGTTAAAATTTAAAATTAAAGTATAAAAAAGGATTAGCCTGCTAGTTTTATAAGTTAGGTTGGCCTAACCTATTTTTAAAAATGGGCCAGTTTTTTTCAATCTAGCCTGTAAGCTCAATCTATTTTCTTAGCCCTACCTATAAATAATAAAAAAAATATTATAAATAAGATTGATGAAATATTACTAACGAGTTCTTGTCTAAATGGTTATGAGCTTAGACAGCTTAACTTAGGTCTTGTGTTCGAGTCCCAGGATATGCAGTCATGCAGCTGAGCATACAAGTATGTCTCACTAGCGGTACCCAAAACACCCCTGAAGAGGACCCCACTTATGTGGGATTCGGATTAATTTGGATTGGGTAGGCAGCTAGAAAAGCCAGGATACCTAGACTCTCAAAGGGCCAAGCACCGAGTCTAGGACTTAGGCAGCTTGCAGATTATAGACCCAAGGGCTTAAAATGATCAAGCCCACAACATTTACTAAAGGCACCATTGAACCACATGCCTCTTTTGGAGTCCCTTTTCTCCCCTCTCTCTATCGTCTCCTCTCGTGATCATAAGGGTCTGCACTAGGTCAACGGCAAGTCAAATAGGTCATGGTTAAAGCCAACACAAAAAGATAGATAGGCATGTGATTTGTGAATGAACTATGACTGCCCATCTCAAGCATATCTTAATCCTCATCACTTCAAACGCGAAAACATCTGTGCAAATTTTGAAAGGATAATCACGTCATGCAGTTCACTTTGGTTCGTTCCAGTCATGTAAGTTTCCATGTGACTAATTAATTAATTAGATCATATTGCATAACTCATCTTGTTGCTAATCATTATTCAAGTTGGAAAAAAATCATTTTCAAAAAACAAAGTTGTTAGAAAATGCTAATTCACTTCGAATTCCCGATCTCATATGTAAAGGAGTTAAACTCCATTTTCAATTGAAGATGTAATTAAGTTACTATATTTATAGTACAATGATCATTACAATTTTTTCTTAAAGAAGAATTAAACAGCGTAATTAATTTTCACGAGATTATTCAAATCATTTTATAAATTGTATTTAATTACATTTAGTGTATTTTCACCTTTCTATGAAAGTGTGACCTGATGTGGCATTTTCGCTATTTTGCCTTCCTCGATGCCGCTTTCTGCGGAAACTGGTAGTAATCAAGATTCTCCTGAGGCGGTGCGGCCTGAGAACGTTTTAGCTATAATAAAACTTCTATTTGCTGCCGTGATCCGTAGCATCAAAATCACAGCCCCCAACATTTTCATTCCATTTATGTAATCAACCGATTAAACATCTCCATCCAAGTTTTATTCCCCCCCCCCCCTCTTGTTAATCGGGTTCTCCCATCTAGGGTTCTTTATATGCGGATCCCTCATTATACTGTCGCCGCCAGAATCAGAATTAGCGTAGGGTTTGAATTTCTTGATTGTGGATTCGCTTCAATTGTCGGGGTGACTGGAGACTCGCGATTGCACCGGGACTTGGGGTTTTGAATTTGCTCCAAAGGCCGCCGATCCGTGTTGGAATTTTAGGCCTTTTGGAGGCGGCAAGACTCGGTATTAGTTGTTTCATTTTGTCATCCTCGCCCAGAAAAACGAGGTAACGTGACGGACATTAATTATAAAGATGTTTTTAAAGCGAGTAGATTTTATCTGTCGGCGCCGTTCCTTCCTGATGGCGTCTGAAGGTTCTTTGCAATTCTCTTGGCTAAAGCTCGGCTATGCTCGTCAATTAGCGGATAACTTTTTTTGGGTCTTGTTTATTTTATTTTTTAATGATTTCCCTATTCATGATAATGGAAAAGGTCAACGAATTTTTTTGGGAGATCGGGGGCTGAGCTTGCACCTATTGTTATAAACTGGAGTTCCACAATGCTGGATGTGAATCATAATCGGGTTAATATATCTAGCCCTTTTTTTCACCTAGCTGAATGGCATCCTTTAGAATAGCGTCGCTAAACAGGGCTGAAGCCCTCTCCTCCCTCTGAAATCAGGTAAGCATCTTTCCGTCACGAAGCATGCAAAATATCATTGATTTTGTAATGCACGCAAGCTTAGAAAGCCAAGCTTGCTTTCATCCTGTAATGAAAATCTTGCTGCGAAAACCATTGCAGGGTCAGCAGAGAATATAGCTGTTAGGTGTTTTCTTTGGGCGTGTGAGGTGGTCGATATTTTGCTTTTATTTGATATGCTTTATTTTATTACTTTTGGCATTCATGTCTAAGATTCTGATTTTTTTTTTTAATTGAAGGATTACATACGGCTTCGGTGTTAGGTCTGAATGTTCAAAAAGAGTCTCTCCACTGCGATAGCAATGGGCTGCTGTGGTGCTTTGGGTTCATGAGAAAATTCAAACGTCGCAGAAATCAGTCTGGCATCAAGAGTAATCTCTCTCAGGAGCCATTATTGGATGAAACTGAAGACGGAGATGAAGATGGATCCTATAATGGTGATGTTACTGACACCATTAGTGGAGGATAGTGAAGTTCCAATTTGTACCAAACGTTCTGAGGAAATTTGATGTTGAGAGAAGAGAAGATATGATTTGTAGGCAGTTTCTGTTAAGGAAACTAACAAAGTTGTTCGCGAGAGGTAATGGGTAGAACAGTCTTTTAGGTTTCTGTTGTGCTGTGTGTATTTTTGATTAAAAGGGAAAAATCAAGACAAGCAACTGGCCAGGCTATCAGTGATCTTCAAAGTGAGGTGATCATGAGTGCATTATGTCAAAACTGAACTAGGTGTGTGTTGGGAACTATCCTTTATATGGTATGTCTGTAAATAGCTGCAATAGGAATCTTCTTTTAACGATAGGAAATGGTATCATATTTGCTGATGAGTATTACACCAACATTGATGATGCTTAGCATGACCTAAGATTAACTGTATTTAATTATTCATACGATATCCTTTGACCTAAATAGTAAGAAATAATCAGTTTTTAGTGTATAAGTTGTTAAATAATGTTTGGGGATAGTTTCTACTCTAGATACTCTTCACCAATGGCTTGAAATAAAGTTGCAGGTGAAGTTTGAAATATTTTTATTGCTTCCCCCCTTATATGCAGCTGTTCTTTGTTTCTTTCTTCACTTGTTAGCAATGCATTTGAGCAATTGAGCTTGCCTGCTTACCTGACTGGTTATCAGTTTTGATTTATGCGCTTGCTTTCAGGAGAAACTTTTCTATTGTATTTCATATATCCTGTCAGAAGTTTTATGTAGGTTTTATTGCTGTTTCAGGATGAAAATGGTAACAAGATGGTAAATGAATATGTTCGGGAGTATAAGATTGGTTCTGGTAGTTATGGGAAAGTGGTAAGCCTAGTGTTGTGATATTATGTTGTCTCGCTCATGACTGTAGTTTTTGAAAGTATCTTTTACATGCATGATAGGTTTATACCGAAGTTGTGCAGATGGAAGGCATTATGCAATCAAGGTATGAGGCTCTTTTCTGGTGTGGGAGTTGCTAGTTTACTGCATTGTAGAAAATTTGGCTATGGTTTATGTAATATTTGCTGATTGAAAAAGATGCTACTGCTGATTTTTATTGTTTGGACGTGTAATGTAACCTGGGCAGTTTTATTGAATATCGTGAGGCTGAGAAAAAGTTAAGACTTTTTCTTTGTTTTCTATTCATAGGTTAAAAAGAACCTATGTGCCTTGATGGTTCTTTGTGAAAACTAAAAGGTTGAAAAGAAAGAAACAAAGATAAATGATCACGGTACTGGTCCCCAGAAATGACCATTATCAAATGCATGCACAATGGTCTTCTTACCTAAGGCTGCAATCAGCCATTTAGTGAGTTTAATTTTTTTTTTAAATCTGCAGGCCTTTCATAAGTCTCATCTACAGAAGCTTCGAGTTGCACCCTCGGAGACTGCCATGACTGATGTTCTGCGGGAGGTATGTATGTTTCTTTTCTATATCTTCTGTTTTTTTACGTTCAATGCTGAAAAATGAGGCACCAATTGTAAACATGTCAAGTTCAAAAATCTTGCTTTATTTTCTACTGGTAACTGCTAAATGTGAGTTCGTATAGTAGAAATCATATGGACATTACTTGATACAAGGGGAAACTAGAAAACGACTTCATTCATCAATAATCACCAGTATATAGGGAGTCCACATAGATAGAACTTCCCATCCACCTCCTAACTACTTACGACTTTTCACCCATGCTAACTAAGCCACTGTTAGATAATAATTCCCAACACTCGTGACAGTCCTATTTTTTGGCAGCTCCTATCTAGGTAATTCATTTCCCCTCATGACCGTCACCTTTTTATGCAATTTTGGTTGTACGCTGGCATGTACATTGACTAATTTTGGGAATTATGCATACTTTGAGTGTCATTTTGCTTCCTTGTTTGTGCAAAAAATTATACATTAGTTGTGCTAACTCAATTGTTAAGCGCCTTTTTTTTCATTATTTTACATACAGTAGGTAAAAGACAAATTCCTTATTTCCAGTACTCATCATGAAAATGCTGGAGCATCCTAACATAGTCAATCTCATTTGAATTTTCTCTCTGCATTGCTTTCTCAAGTTTGAATGGATAAAAACTTTTACCAGTCTTGTAGCTGACAGCTGATCTTCTCCTCCTCCTCCTCCTTCTTCTACAGTACTTGAATATGTAGAAGGCAAATGGGTTTGTGAGGGTTCAGGTCCTTCTTGTAGCTTGGGTGAGGAGACTGCTAGGAAATACTTGCGTGATATAGTTTCGGGATTAAGATACCTTCATGCTCATGTATTATCTCTTACCCAATCCTTTTGTGCTTATTTTTGACTCTTAACTCTCTCATGCACACTCACTATGGCCTCCCTTGGTATTAACATTATTGCTGTAGTTTTTGTTATTATATGACTTTTATTATGAGGATTAATATGGATGCGTGTGTAATTTTGCAGCTAAGTAGTCTCAGTTCCGAGATGGTAGGACTTGAATAGCATGTTTTTGTCTTTCTTGATGTTAGCCAAGTCTTGAATAGTGGGGCCATGGTGTCCATAACACTATGTTTGGTTGGAGGGGAGGGAGGGGGAGGGAGGGGAAGGAATCCCCCCAATTGTGGGGGAGGTTTTGGAGGGGAGAGGAGGGCAAAGGGGAGGGGAGGGGAGGGGCCAAAACAGGGGGGTTAATGGAGTTTTGCTGAAAGGGTCAAAAGTTGGCAGGATGATGTAGGACATATTGCAGTTATAAATCCAACTTTATAATAAATTAAACCTTTATTGTTGTCAAAAGTTGGCAGAACTTTTACATCTACTTACCCATCCTTAAAACTTGCTCCTGAATATTTTATCCCCTAGACATATCTTTAGTTCTAAATTTTTTGTATGATAAATGTGGCTATTACAGTTTTGTGGTGTGATTTACATTGTATTGAATTAATTAACCTCTCTTGTCACTATCTGAAATCTCCCTGTTGCATAGATGTTAGAAGTATGAACCTTGTATGCTCACTAAGTTAGTATTGTTGATTGTGTGGAATCTTGTTTATATTGATGTCTGAGGCTAGTGTTATCTGTGAAAATTGTTTTCCAGTTACCTTATTTATGTAATGTGCTCTGAAGTAGTTTTTGTTACACCGTGGTGATTATTCCATGGATTCTTTGAAATGCAGAATATAGTGCATGGAGATATCAAACCGGATAATCTGTTGGTTACACGTCATGGGACAGTAAAGATTGGGGATTTCAGCGTCAGCCAGGCTTTTGAGGTGACTTTAATATTGCTGAGCTTCAGTGTAAATAGGTTATATCTTACGAAAGCTGATGCTATCTAAAACGCCCAAAAGATGTGAAAGCTGATGGGTATATCCTGTGGTTCTGCCATTATTATGTCTGTCCGCAGTGGTCCTTCATTCTGTTCACACCAAAATGATTAGGATTTTATCCTTTGTTCCTTTAAAGGAGCTATCAGTTATTTGCTTTTATGTCTTCTGTAATGTTTTCTGCATATCCCACCATCCCACGTAGTTCTCCCTGAGAGATGTTATTTTGTTTTTGCTAGACACAGGTAAGTGATGGGTATGGAGGCTTTACTTGATTTCATTTTGCAGGATGATAATGATGAGCTTCGCCGATCACCTGGGACTCCTGTTTTCACTGCTCCAGAATGTTGTTTAGGTTAGAGTTATCTTTTCCAAACTTTTCAAGGTACTTTAGTATGTGAAAGTTCATGTTCTAATTGCAGTTTTGTCGGTTGATGTTCTTTCAGGTCTTACCTATAATGGTAAGGCTGCAGACACTTGGGCAGTTGGAGTTACTTTGTACTGCATGATTTTGGGTGAATACCCGTTTCTTGGAGACACACTTCAAGATACTTATGACAAAGTATGTCATGCATATACTCATATGAATAACACGCATGTTGTCTCCATGCTTCATTTATCAGCTTTTGTCTTAGAAACCTCAGCCTGCTGCTTTACTTCTCATCCAGATTGTCAATAATCCTTTAGTACTCCCTGATGATTTGAATCCACAAATAAGGAACTTGCTGGAAGGACTACTTTGCAAAGGTATATTTAAATTCTACTTTCTACTGTTTCCCGCCTAAAAGATCTAATTATTCATTTTTTGCCCCCAGTAATGTGAGGTTCACCTTCTTATGGGGTATCAATTGAAATGTGTTTTGCAGATCCAAAACTTCGGATGACGTTGGGTGATGTTGCTCAGCATAACTGGGTTATTGGAGATGACGGGCCAATCCCTGAGTATTTGTGTTGGTGCAAACGCAAGAGATTAGGAGGAGATTTAAACAGCAACAACATACTTGCTTGACCTACACTGACTAAATTATCTTGTTTATGTACATTGAAAAAACCCGGATTTTGCCCTTTTTACTCTATGGAGTCGTTATGGTCGGAGGAGAGAGACTTCCAGGAAACTCTTGATATGACTTATTCTGGCAGTGGCAAGGAAGGAAAGGGAGAAAGTGTTCGTTTTGGTTATTAAATTTGTTACACGGGAGACTCTGTGATCTTGTTGAATTTTACCAAGTTTTGAGCTCCGGTATTAACTGGGCAAAATATTGATTTTATCTTCTTTATATGTTATACTCCCAGTATTTTGTTTTTCCATTTGCTAAAAAATACCACACTGTACAGTATGTTATTATTTGTGGTTGGGTATATAATCGTGAATTTTACTGAGCACATTTTAACTGTCAT